TGGCTTGACACAGTACATCTGTATTCGCGTGAGCATCGACTGCCACTGCGTTCACAGAATCTGTGTCGCACATCTTCGCCAGCAAGGCATTCCTTACAGCGACGGCATGTATCACGAACTAAGGTCGGTTAGTTCGGGCATTGAATTCCAAACCTTGAGAATACTTGCCGACAGAGAACCCGACCCGATCACCACTAGCAGACAAGAGTCGGTCGATGGTAGTCAAAGCGAACTACACCACGTACACTTCAATGGTCTGAACATCGGGACCGATCCTTTCAACGATACCTACTCCTTCGTGCCCTAGAGCCATGTCACGCTTCCTCTGATGTACATCAGTGTAACACAGCCTGTATATCGTCGCGCGGTCAAGCAGTAGTTCGTATTCAGGCGGAAGCTATTACGACGCACCCAGTGTGAGTGATCTTGATAATGACGTCGTTAGGGCGGAACGGACGCTCGGTCTTCTTCACCACGATGTCGCCGTTCTCGGAGCCGCTGAAGATGCTGTACTCGAATGACATGTCCAGCGACGAGTACGGGAAATATAAGGGTGACAGGAAGATAGATACCTTCGACAGTATGGCTGAGCTTATGTATATCTGTATCCCCCCATCAATGGCTGCCTGAACGAATGAGTGCACACGTCCTCCGAGTCCGTCGATGGGGGAAATAGTATCTGCTCCGGCTGAGGCAAGATGCCTTGGGCTGGCAACGAAGGCCACCTCCGTAGACGTCATGAAAGCATGAAGTCATCGCGATAGCTGAGACAGCAATTCGATGCCCGTTCCGAACGAGGAACGTGTAAAGCAGCCATCCGAGTCAGTTTGCTCTACTCGAAATATTAATCCGTTGACCGCCATTCGCTCTTTGTGTTGCTCTCGGATCTGTTCTTCTATTGGCATGCTGTCCGTACACGCATAAATAATCGATTGAAATGCACTTTTCACCCAAGCTATCTGTATGCCCAGGCGTCCGCAACAAAGACTGTCCGGTGACTGGGCGACTCCTCGTCAATAAGAGGCTTTTGCAATGCCGCCCTGGGTGAGCGGGAGCTTTTAGATCATCTGTTTATTATGGCAAAGCGTTGATGTCGAATGTGACGAGCATGAGCAGTGACACAGAATGCAAGGTTGTGATGACGAGCCGGAGCCCGTCGTTAGCCATGGTGCATCCGCAGGCATGAGCTGTGTTCCAAGTTTCTCCGGGGAATATCTTGCGATCAAGCGCAAGGTTAGAGACTAGGAGCCGGACGAGTACTATGATAGTCGACTATGATAGTCGACGTTAAAATGCAGTTTTGCGCCGTGATCTACCAGACGCGTCCCAGCTGCGTAATTACAATTGATTTTTTTTTTTAAGAAAAGATCTGCCGGACGCGCGAAAGCTCCTGCTAGCCATTCCCACAGTCATCCCAGGCCAGCGGTTACCATAACATCTGCTACTTACATTTCTACCAGTCAAAAACTTCGTCAGTGTAAAACACGTACGCATTCCTACTTGCTATTCAAGGCCCATTGCTCTTTACGGGCATGTTTTCATTCGAATTCATCTGCGACATCCTCGAAAAGACCCGTACGTGCAACAGCAGCCAGGAGAGGAGCGCATCAATCTGCAGTGTCAATCACGGGCTGGAAAAACAGCGGGCACATCCTAGCGAAGAGTTTGACGATGGGAGACGACCAACAACAGGAAGAATAGTGCGCTCTTCTCTCTTGTCCTGAGGCGTGTCTGACGCTTTTTTCTGCCGCAAGGGAGTTCCGGGAGCCGAGACGATACAGTCTATTACCGGCAAATTGTACACCACCACCAAATTATACAGTGAAATGTTTTTCTTCCTCCCATCCTCTTTTTCGTATAGTAGCTATACCAGCATATTATTACTGCTATGGGCTGCCTCCAGAAAAAGTTTGAAGTGTGTAGGAAGGGTGGTTGGCGAGCAAGTGCAGAAATGGTTGGCAACTTCAGGAGATTCAGACTCGCATCGGTGTACAACAGCAGCTTGCACAAAACCCAGTATGATTTATGCGTGTATTTTTGCGAAGAATAATTAAGATGGATTTATTCCATCGCTCTGTGCAAAAGATCGGGTGAAATTCTTTGTGGATGTGGAACCGATGCAGTTTCTCGGTGGGGTGCTGCTGGGGTCGGAAAGTCAGTTTGTCGCGCTGATAACGATCACGTGAGTTCGTTGACCGGCATCACCGGACACTGTCCTTAGCATTGTCGCCGAGGTCATCACACTTGTCTGCATTCTTGGATATTCACAGACTATTCCATTCAATATCCGACATACCATACTCTCATTCAATAATTTCCTCACACTCCTTTCAACATGGTGTATGAAAAATCCAAAGAAAGAGAGCGTGGGATCATGTTGACCCCGTCCGTTCGTTCTGATCTTGGTCCTGATTATCTTTCTTATCTTCGCTATCTCGTCTTATCAGCGTTATCAGCGCTGTACAACTTGGTGCGACTCGCACTTTACGCTTCCCACGACTGATCTCTCTTTCGTACCACTCCCTCCCATCCTACACCTTATATTTTTCATGCAGTAATAGTAACAATACATAATTACATGCCTGCAAATTTTGGAGCTAAGAAAATGCGAACTGGAGGCAGGACAATCAACACAAAATTTGCTGTACAATTTGCCGGTAATAGACTGTACTGGTTTGCTGCCTTAACATCACGCGCATCTCGAATACCTGGCGCGCTGCCATTGCCTAGCGCGGCACAAGGAAGTCTTCGTGCCTGGGATCGAGAAATACATGTGTTGAAGGACCTCCTCGCCGCCGTTTCAAATCATCGAAATACGCTCTGCCCGTGCTCTTCCCTTCCCCCAGAAATATTGGGTTGCATCTTTGAATTTCTGGTCACTATGCATTCCATCGAACCGCCCGAAGATTTCGGTTGGAGTTGGATAGCTATAACTCGCGTCCGCCGCACCCGGAGAAATGTCGCCACTGCAACCGCCGCTCTTTGGACAACCCTTTCCACGCCATCTCAGCAACCATGGGATATATTCTTAGAGCGTTCGCGAGCCAGCCCACTTCACATCGTCATCAATAGTCATGTCTTCAATCCTGGGATCGACCCTCACCATGTTGCACTCATTTCCGCGCATTTCCATCGCATCCGTACTCTAAATGCTGAATCGGGGGAGCCCCTGGACACGTCCATCGCCCTGATGATCTCCAGTGCTACTGTCGCTCATACACTACAGGATCTATGTCTAACACGAGCCAAACAGTCAGCGGCGCAGTCGTCGCGTCCCCAAGTCCTGTCACCGGACTTCTTTATTCGCGTCGCCCCCGATCTTCGCCTCATCAAACTCTATAATTTCCAGTTCCCTTGGACAGTCGCCGCCCCGAACCTCCGCTCTTTAACTTTACTTTCCGACTGGACTGTCAATCCTTCCGTCTCTGCAGGTTATGCTTCCTTCTCTGTGCAAGACATCCTGCAGAGCCTTCGCCAGATGCCCAACCTGCGGTTCCTCTACCTTGCACGCCCTCCTGCTGAAAATCGTCTGCGTAGTTCATCATTCGACCCTATGAATACCGATAATTCTGTTCTCCCTCCCCATCCCGTCAGGGCCTGCTTCGCGGGTAGGGTGCGGCAGTGCATTCGTCTGTGGCGAGCAATACGATTTAACCCCCGAGCTCATGTGGAGATTTTCACCGGTGACATCGTGGAAGAAGCACACCAGGACGTCCTATTGTCACTGCAGAGAGGGTTCGGTAGGTACCAAGATTCTGCCTTCTCTAGGCTCGTCGTCGAGGAGTTTTGTGGACGCTTGGAGTTTTGTGTGTATCACGACCCGAAACACTCCTCAGAACGTCTGGACCTCCGAGATTCACCGTGGACTGCAGCGTCTTCACGCTTTACAAATGGCGTCGACTTTATTTGCAAGATGCCGTCCAGGCCAGTGTGGAGTTCCATCCGACCCCTCTCTCTGACAATCCCGCTTGATCGCTTGCGCGAGCTCACCCTTATACGCCTCGAGCTGAAGGACCCTGATTCATGGATAGATTTCCTCAGCCCTATGTCTAAGCTGGTTGTTCTTGAGCTCTCATGCTTGCGTCCGAAGACGCTGCTCGCTTTCTGCGCGGCGTTGATCAAGGCCGCAGAGCCACATTCGGACGGCACTCGTTCTCGATCATTTCTCCCTTCTTTTGCGACACTCATCATCTCTCATACTGTTCTGGATTGCGTTGATGGACGCGGAGTCATCAGCACCAATGGAAGCATTCTTATACTGTACGTGTCGTTCGAACAATGCTCCTCCATCGCGCCTATTACGAGCGTCGCAGTCTCAGCCCGCGGTTCCTAGGTCTCCGCCACTGTACAATCCCCATTACTTATATTTGGAAGCTGGAAGAAATCATTGATGTCGTATGGGACCAAAATGAAGACGGATACGATTTGGATGATTCAGACGACGAAGAAGAGAGTGGGAGTGGGAGTGATGGGGTCAAGGGTGGGGGCGGGAATCAGGACGGGAACCAAGGCATGGCGGTGAATGAGGGAAGCGGTACGTGATGGCGACTGTGTTGGTCTGGAGACGGCAGTAGTACAGCAATGCTTTTTGACTAGATAGGATGGCCGCTTAGACCTAACCTCAGGCCGCCCCTTCGAGAAAAATTCGTGTTACGATGTTTATAAAGCCCCTATAGGCCTTATCAGCCGTAGGTAGTAGAAAGCGTTAATCACTTGCAAGTTTCATGGGCTGTGTAATCCCGTGAAGGAGAGGAATCGTTGACTAGCGTTTGCCGACGTAAGAATCCGTTGTGTTCTTCATGTGGTCAATAGCAGTAGGAGCAGGTATAGCTCACTCTTGGCAAGAGCTTATGGTTGCGGCGTGTAGACATAACGATGCACGCGCGCTGCTGCTTGGATCTGACAAGAATGAACAGGATGAAAGCCCGGGGCGAGAGTGGCGAGGATATGAGCGGATCGGTCATTAAAGGAGGACAAAATGTAGTCATCCATGTTATCTAAGGTCCTGCCAGGACTCGAACCTGGGTTAACGGAAAGCCGCTAATCAGAATCCGTTGTGATAACCACTACACTACAGGACCTATGGTTGGGTTGATTCTGTTAGCATCTCCATCACATCTTATCAGCAACCCCAACAAAGTTGTTTACTTGGGGTGAGGTCATCGTTCGGCATAGCACATGCGATACGTATCTTCCCATACTCAGCCATGTCGACCAGTGGCAAGCCCGGTTCGTAATTGGTCGTATCGACAGGTCCAGCGTACTGACAGCGATGACACAGAAATGTCTACGGCGACAACGACCACTGCACTACTTTCGCGCGCTCTGCACCGGCTGCGAACGACTGCGCCCAGGGTCATTTCTTCCCCTCCCACTCGTGCGTCTAGTATGAATTGGCCTGCATTGATTGTCTGACGCTCTGCAAGAACCACGTAGGGCGGCGGTGGCGCTTGTGCTCCGTGTTGTACCGGCACCCGGTACTTCCCCCTCCGGCCTATCCTCAACACAAATTCATGCGTCTCAGCTCACGCTTTCCGATTTCTTTGCTCAAGAGTGGGTTTCGCATCCTGGCGCACGCCCAGAAATTTTGTTCCTTCACCGCTCGAATCCTGGCAAGTCAGAGGCAGAGGTAGCCGGCGACTCACATGTTGCTTTCCCTGGCGGTCGCATGGAGCAGGATGATGAAGATGGGCTGTTCACGGGTGTGTATACTGGCAATTATAAAACTCTATTTTTACGCCCACCTAGCGATGCGACATACATGGGAAGAGATTGGCATAGATCTCGCAGAGGCGGATTACATGACGATTGGCCAGTTGGATGACCGCGAGATTACCACTTCTCTGGGGAAGCGTCTTCTCATGATTCTGAGCCCCTTCGGTGAGCGGCATCATAATTTGTACATACGATGCGGAGCTGACCTGAGGGTGCTTCAGTTTTCCTGCAGCTCACATCGCACTCTCGACCAGTTGATCCGAGCCCTGACACCACTTTACACTGGGTCCCCCTCGCATCTCTCCTCCCCTCTCCTTCTCTCGCCCTCCCTCACTCTATTTCCTATCCAGAACCTATCTGGTCTTCTGTCAACATTGACACTGCCTCTCGTCTCGCCCCGCGCCACTCCATTGCTCTCAAACTTGTCATGCGTGTTCTCGTTGGGAGCATGCAGTTTCCCGCCCTCGTCCTTGTCCCGCCATCTGAGTACGGTTGTGCCGACGTGAAGCGTCCGCGCGCGATGGAAGCTGGAAGCGGCACACGTACACCGCCACTCAAGCTCTGGGGCCTTACACTCGGCATGACGCTCGACCTCCTCGCGTACATGGCTCCTCAGCCGCTCACGCCCTGGGATGCCGATGCCCTCATGGGTATCACAGGTGTCGACCCTTCACCTGGAACGCGAGGAAGACAACGCCGTGTCAATGCACCACCAAGTCTCACGAGTGTCTTTCCGCGGTTCTCTTACCCAGACGTGAACTTCTGGATTTGGTGCGTGACGGGCTACGTCGGTGTATCATGGGACCGCGATGGATCCCTCTACCCCAGAAGCGGGCTCGAACTAATGACCCCTGTTTTTTGTAGGGTGTTTGGCAAGCGATATCGTGAAGTCATTCGCGGATGGGAAACGTCCGTACGAAACGGAGGCCTGAATGACCGGCGGTGCGCAACAATACACTTCTACTCCGTCTCACTTCATTATTAACGGGAGGCTTCCACGCCCCAGAATCAACTGGACAGGCGCGGCGCTCACAACCTTCTATGCTGCCGTGCGTAAGGCGCTCGTCGTCGTACTCATTCTACGCGCGCTCGGTCTCCTTGTTGGTGTCGCTGTTGGACTCTGGTGGGTCCTTGCCTAAGGCGATTGACCGGTCGCACAGCCTAGCTTGTCGCAAAAAGACTCCTCGTCCAACCTATCCCTTATCCGTTTCCTGGAGTTTTTTTTCTCTAATGCTTTGAGGCGGCAGGCGCTCTTCTATTGTCATACTCCCACAACCGCACGCCCCTCCACGTCGGATGCGCACTCCCTCCCACGGATTCGTAGGGGCTTTGGATGTCCATAGTACATTATTGCCTTTGTCTTACGATACGATATGAATACTAGTGTTCATGCGTCCCTTTCACCCCTGGCCTTGTTTCTCGAACTTTCCTCGTCATCACCTGTAGACTACACCCCTCGAAACACGCACTTTCGGCTCCCTCGACTGTAGCACGTACTATCCCGTTTGTTAGTTCTGTAGATGTTCGTGGGCATACCAGCGGAACGATTGATAGGAGATCAATCGGGACGGATGTATCAGAGCTTCACAGGACTGACTCCGATTGAATGCATGAAGCTAGCAGGCTCTAGCGACTAATGGCTGGATATGGAAGTGTACACACACCCTCGAAGACCCCGGATCGACAACAATAGGAAAGCCATGGTAGGAGGGTCGTGGTCGGGTCAGCGTCGCGAATTACCGTGGTTCGTGACGCCGTAATCCCCTGTCCATCGTTTAGCATAGTCGTAGCTGTATGTAGGGTCGGCCCCCTTAGTGAGAGCACTCCAAATTCGAGCGCATTGGGGCACTACGATACGCAAATTCCAACTTGCCGTCGCATTCAATGACGCTGTATGGAGACCATAAACAACTCCGAGTCGCTGAATCAGCCATGTAGACCACTAGAGTGCCTACTATCATGTAGGGTACACCAATACCCTTTGAACGAAATCTAGATCTAGCTGTGAACTGCATGCTTGCGTCACGAGAAGCCATAAACGGAGGAGTCATTGTGCAAGAAAGAAGTTATAGGTTAGTCGGGAAGGTAGATCAGAGACGGTTTGAGAACCGGATTGCCTCGCGCTTACACCACGTCCACTGTCACAAAATAATCTGAAATTGCATAGCCTACGGAAACGAATATCACGTAGACACAAACCCGACTCAAAATGACCGCACGGTCATTTCTTCCCAGAACGGGCGCCGCCGCCAGACCGCAAGCTTGAGAAAGCTGGCCAAGCGCGCCACACCGGTAAAGAAAAACCTTCCAGTTGTTCATCTCGAACTCGGTGTATGTCGCCTCGACGAGGACCTGAGGCAACAAATGGGTCAAAAGCAGGATGAGAGGGGAAATGACATGCGACTCACGACGGTCCCAATGCCACTCGAATGAATCCAAATGCCACTGCGGACATGCGCCATTCGCAAACATCCGACCGACACGATCGCGACCTTCCCGCGGCATAACTGGAACCTCCGCAGTCGATTTGCCAACGGAGAGGACGATGTCGGGCTGGCGTGACAAACCGCCCCCGCCCGGATGCACGACTTCCACGATGTCCAGGAGGCGAGCAAACGCATGTGGAATGTCGCACACTTTCTGAATCGCAGGGAGCAAACGGCCGCTGTGTAAGATCGCATCGACATCAAGCTCGCCCGTAAGGCAGTTGCGGGCGACGAGATCAGGAAACATTCCCTCAGCTATCTTGGCCAGATCGTGTGCACTGAACCGCCAGCCACACCATAACTTGGGTGGAACGACAGCCGGGATAACCTGCCAGTGTCTTAAGAGATAATCCGGGATGTGATCAAAAGGGAGGGGCTGCTGCAAAGAGTTGCGCTCGAATTGCTATCCAGGATCAGCTGAGAACACGCAAAGGATAATGTTCGACTTACGGCTCGTGGGCTGCGACAGTTTTTCAAGGGAGAAAAGAGAATGGGAATCACAATAGTGGGGATGTGGTTTGGGTCAGACATGAACTACAGCTTGCGCAGGAGGTTTGGGACTGACGCTTATAAAGGCACTGCTGCCACAAGACCTTTCGTTGAACGAGAAGAACCACAGTCCCACGGCAAAGTCCACAGCATTCCCGAACCGGCTCGTAAAAGAGCCTCTTTCCTACGGAAGATTCCATATACCAGTATCCCTGGACCAGGAACGCCAAGTCTCCGTGAGCTAGGACGACTTCTGAGGCCCGTGTGGTATACCCGCAAGCTGTCGATCTCATCAAAGGGGGTCTACATTCCAAAAGACAGGTGGAGAGATTTGGAGTGCTTGGTTAAGACCACACGATAACACGGCCCCAGCCCAGGTGGTCACGTACTAGGCGCACCGCTCCATCCAGAGCTATGTAGGACTAGTCCGTCGAGGGAAAATCGTAATTGAGACTTTATGTAACACCAGAGGCGGTGGTCAGAATTTTTCAACAGAGCAAAAGCTACCAAGGTGCAGTTGTATGGGACATGTGGAACAGAGTAGTGGACAGGGTGTAAGTGCTTCGTCGACGCGATGGGTTGCCAAAGGCTCGAAGGGCATTCATCTTACGGTCTCGGTCAAGCAAAAGATGATTAAGTAAGTTGTGAGGTCGAAGGGCATGACGGGTCCTGTCATGCCCTCCGATCCAGTGCTGCGCGGTCAGTGTCCGAATTAAATACCGAAGTCGATGATTTTGATGGCAGTCAGAGTCACGAGTCACGGCCAAACACGACTGATGATTATTGCAAGAAGCAAAACGTTAGTCCCCTGGAGCAAAAAACGAGCTTCAACTTTCAGCTGTAGGAATGGGAGCGGGCGTAATTTGGAGTTGCCCCAAATGGGAAGAGGGAGGAGCGGAGACGCAGGCTCAGAGCAAGCCCGGCAGGGACTGTCACGCGTTATGTCTCGCTCACACTACAGACAGCCAGGTCAGCCAAAGTGTGCCCTGCTACTAAGGCAGCTGAGTTTTCTGGAGTTGGTAAGCGAACAGTTTGTCGCATCTGTGCCAAGGCTCGCTCGACCGGGCAATATCTTGAGAGTTAAGGAGGGAAGGAGCAGTGCAGCAGAGCAGCGCCGTGCACGAACTTGAAAGGGATGTGACGAGTGACATCCTGTCCTTTCCCGTTCGGGTAACATCTAATTACGCCCGCTCCAATCCCTACAGCTGAAAGCTGAGGCTCGTTTTTTTGCTCCAGGGGACTAGCGTTTTGCTTCTTGCAATAATATTGTGTCCAGTCAGTACTAGTGGCGTCGCCTTTCGCGCGTGACCGTCTTTCGCATGTGACCCGGACCAGTCATGTGCCTTCAAGTTGGTCTATAAAAGCTAGGGTCAACATTGTCCCTCCCCGAC